CTTCTTCTGCAACCACACTGAGCTCCAGACAAGGGATGTTTGTTTTGTGAAAATACCAATCTGTCATCACATGGTTAATAATGAGTTTAATACAACACTAAAGTATGTAGGTTTATGGTATATGTATTGGATGTGGTAGTATGTTTCATACATGTTTCTATCATACTTTATATATTTCCAAGCATTATAAAGCAAATTCCATGCTCAATTAAGACACTGCAGTGTCCAGTCAGTGTGAAAAATGAATTTAAACATATCTTTGTGATGTAACAAGCAAACTTTTATTACACAAATGGTTAGCATCCATAAATTGTACTTATTACTGGACTCTCAAACTAGACGCAAAAGAAGGTTTGCTTCTAGCTTCTTATATCTGCTGTAGATGACAATATATATAGAAGTATAATAGGAGATTTGTGTCTGACAGTATGTAATAATGTACAGTAATGTAAGTTAAACTGCTACTTGAAGGATGGCAGAAGCTGAATTAACATGTAATACCTATGATGTGTGTGTACAGAGATGAGACACTTATAGCTTACATTTCAGCCTTACCTCAATATCATGTCATTTTGGGAGGGAGATATAGGCTGTAACATGTCACATGTTCAGACATCTAAAATAACTTGAAGTTTGCTTTCAATATGTTTATAACCATAATTTCTTTAAATTATTTCTGTTATTATAACTGTGTATCAATGGAAGAAGAAGTTATTTCAGAGATAGCAGATCATTACTAACCCCTTCCATGGTTGTCTCTTTTTAAGAACAACATTAATAATTTCTTTCATATGAATATTTCCATTATAACACTTAAAAAGCCACAGGATACTTCATTTTTAGTACTAAAATGATTAACGAACATAGGTGAGGCAAGTGTATCTGTACCAAAAAATATATTAAACTCTAAAGTTGTCTGTTGATCCTTTTCTTGCTCGCAGTAATAACAGAATATCTGTGGTTCTACTTCCATTCCTGCAGATGCTTGCTTGCAGAGATGTTTGTTCTTTTAACTTATGTAACTAGATTACAACTGTAATATAGATGACAGCCATTTCTTGACATTTTAGCACATGTGAGAACTGTAGACATGCAGCCATGCAGTCCCCTGGCCATTGTACATACATACTGTATACAGTGTGCATAAGCCATGCAGCATACATTAATTTCTTCCACCTATATCAAAATCCACTGAATCCAAATGCTAAATATTACATCTTAGCAAAATTACAACCAAAACATTTAAAAACGCAATCTGGATAACTGAGTTTTGAACTCCGTCCATCATCTGGTATTCCAAATCAACAATGAAGATGGAAAGAGCCAAAAAAACTCCAGATCCAGATTGCAATACATCATCATCCAAACCCTTTACAATCAATTAAAAAAGATTAATTTTTATCACCAAATTTACCTACTACTCACCTATAGGACCAAGTACAAATATTATCATGTGATCAATCACAGCCTTCTATCACTGGGAGTAAATGCACAAAGAAATATGGGTTCAAGAAATTCTGTTTCCAGATAATTTATCCTAGCCATGGATTCTCTGATGTAGTTTAAATAAACTGTAAAAACTGTTAAAACTGTAAAGTTAGATTTTTTGTGTGAGTGGGGGGGATTAAGCCTTTGCACATGCAAGGACATGCAACCAGTGACAACTTTGGTTTAGAATCATAAGTGCATTCTTCATCCTACTACCAAAGCATCCTGTCAGTGTTCTAAATTGTTTAATTCTGTCATTGTTGTTTTTTCCTTGCATTGGGTGACTTAAAAATTAAAACTGTCACACAATCTCACAATTTATGTACCCTTTCATATTAATTTAAATGAGACTCCAAAAACCCTTCTTGTTATCTTATATGCTCTGGATCTGACAGAAACCTGTGCTTAATAATACATTTCCATTGTCAACTCATCACTTTGTAAGCCCAAATATAACTGAGAAGAATAGGTCTTATAAAACATGTAGGAAATCAGCTTTCTAAAGATAACAATACGTTTAAAACTACAGGACCTTGAATTTCTCAACATACAGAGAAAACCCAGAATACATGTTTCCACAATATGATTTATCAACATACAGAGGAAACCCAGAATACATGTTTCCACAATATATACTGCAATGTACTGAATATACTTAAACCCATATTCCTTTCTGTGATCAAGTTTGAAATTTAAGTTTATCCCAGTTTACAAGGTTTGTGCTGAACCAAAAAGAAAAGTGTACCATGGGGTATGGGATATAATAGTGTGTTGGTACTGGGAATACTTGATTCCACAAATGACTGTTCTGAAACCCATAAAATTCTATTGTGCAATATGCAAATGGAGTCCAACAAGTCAGATGTACTAGGGACACATTAGGCATTACTTAGTTATATACTTGTCAACAGAGTAAATACAGATTACAATAGATTTAACAATACAAAACAGGGACAAAGCCAGAAGCCAACAACTCTAGTGATGGAAAGATAAACTTGAGGAATAGAACAACATAAAAAGGACCACAGAGATTCAAAGTAGCATAAGTTAAAATATAATTATTCAAAAAAGATGTTCTCATAGTATTAAGGTATTCGGCTCACGTAACATACCCACCATCACTTCACTTACACTACCCTGGCATTCAATTACCATTTTATAGTTCAAACAGAAACAATAACAACAATAATTATTCAGGAAAGGGATAACTAGACCCACTAATAAGTCCTATGTCAAAGCACAATAGTGCTACTTATTGTAATGGCTTCTCCGATTAAATGTTTTTAATATGTATCTATTATATGTCATGTTTTAATGGAAACTAACTACAATGAAAATTGGAACTGCATATTACAATATGACAGTACAAAGAAATAGCTTGTAATCACTGATACTTGTATTAAGCAATCTATGTTCAGACAGCTATTTGGCATTTACAAGCAATTCGGTGCTTATTTCTTGCAGTGCATTACTTCTATGTCACTAAAAACATTATAATACTATTTTATATATTTATGAATGTTACTAAAGATGTATGTAAAAAATTAATCAAATACATACATAATTCCAAGATTCAGTAAAAATGTATAATGTTAGAAAAAAACAGTTTAATTATTTTAGTACATGAAAAGCAAATGACAAACAGTAAGTTCGCTGTTTAATAAAAACAGTTATTTTCACAACAAATCATATACCAATACAACTTTGATCTGTGCATGTTGCAAGACAGGAATCAATGCATAAAATGCACAACTGTGGTCATTTTTAGTATATTTTAGCCCTCAAAACAGAAAATAACAAGGCAGCTGGAAAGCTAGAACATATGGTATGTTATTTCACGAAATCTGGTTTACTTACTATTGTTATTCTTATTGTTATTCTCTTTCTTTTCATACATGACTTTACCATCTGGCCCTGGGCAGAGTAATACAGAAAGAGAAAAGAGAGAAAGAGAGTTAAGATTATAGCGAAGCCCTGGTCCAGTGGTCCAAAACAGAGAAAAAGCAGCTAAACAGCTGCATTTGAAACTTGTAATGTAATAGGGAAGTATACATTTTTAAATGGATCAAACTGCGGCATAATAAACTTTTAAAAATAAAAAAAAAATAAAGAAGATAAAAACCTTTTAAATTGACTGACTGTCCCATTTTAAAACAGTATTTCATGTTTCCATGAATGTAATATTCACTTACAATAAGACACATTTCAAAACCTTGATAAACTGAACAAATATGGTTGTATTTAAAATGCATTAAAATGTCTCACAGAGTACCATAACAAAAAATCATATCACAAAACAAAGAAGATTTTACTGTCTAAATAAATATGCATACCAACACAGTTAACAACTGAATTTTCACTCATATAATAAGAACCTTCAACAAAAAAAAGTTATTCGTCAGCCCAACAATCAACCCTTCAATACTGAACAGAACACACTCACAGACCCAGTTTTACTGTAGGTGTAATGCATTTCCAAAAGACCCATTTAATTAGCACCCATCAAAAATTTTCTTTATTAAAATATGGAATGCTCTTCTTCTTTTTCCCAAAATTATTTGGTCAGACACTTATCTTGACTATATGCCTCACTCTTTTACATATTTATTAACACTTCTATATTAATAATAATTATTTATCATGAATGAAGGGAATATAAAGTAGAATTTATTTACCTAAGCTACACCAACAGTGAAAATGCAAAATGAAGTGTATGAATAACTGCATATTAGGAATTTCCTCTATAAATCTATTAGTATTAGGAATGATAAAGCACCAAGTATATGTATCCTATCTAAGGAATTATCAGAGAATTTGTACAGACAAGGAAATCTGAAGAAAAAATCTACCAGAATAGCTGATTGTTTGACCACGATATTAACTTGACATTTCCAAGACACAAAACACAAGTGTTTATTGTTGATTTCTAACTTTATTTGGCAACACTTTTTCAGAAATATATATTTTATACTACATAAAATGGGAGAAAGTTTGTATGTATTGAATTGGTTAATAATATGAAGTGTATGTGATGTATTTTAAAGTAATGTATATTAGCATTTGCCTGGAAGGACTGGTGATAAATATAAAATAATTATCAGGAGAGTTAGTCTCTGGACTGAGATTCAAACCCAAGTCCTCCTGAGTATGAAGTGAAAGTGTTAAACCTCCAGTTAATTGAATAAATTGATCATGATGAATTGCTGAAGTATACTGATTTTACTATGTCAAGATTGATTATGGCTTGCTGAGATGATATAATTTCACTAAACACTCTAAAATAAACTGAAGATAGTATAGTAACTTTGGAAAAGTGTACTTATATACATAATACAGTGCAGCAATATTAATTACATTTTTACAGATTTAAAAAATTCTAATTTACAGAATTTTAAAGCAGATAGATACTGACTACCACTATAAGCTAGTCTTGGTAGTCTGGCAACATTCAGCATCTGAAGTATCTTACAAGTTACATAATTACACAGTGATTTGCTAGTAAGGGATAGCAACTTACCTTCTTGAACTTCAATGCCTTCTGCCTTCAGCAAGTCACGCAGGCGCATGATCTCTTCCTTCAGTTCACGAATGAGTTTAGCATTAGCATCCTCATTGACAACGGCCTTACATACAATCTGTTTTGCTCGATCAGCATACCTATTACGTAAAAAGAAACACTGTTCTGAAACATGAAAACACAACTCCACTGTATATAATCACTGAATGGCTATAGTGCAGTTAAGATAGCCAGTCCGTGAGACAAGATCTGAATCCAGAACTTCTTGAATATGACTCAGGAGTCCTAACCAGTCTGCTTCCGTGTTTAATTCAAATGCCCCACCAAAACTCTATGTTGGCCAAAAGGAAGAAGACAACACATACATTCTGCTCAAAAATATTTACCAGGTCTCTTAGTACAGATGCGCAGCAAATTTAATTTTATGTAAGTGTGAAATATATTGTACATGCTGACTATTTTGTGTGTGAAGAGAAAGATAAACTCCAGAACACAGAATTACTTCATGGGTTATGGCAGTGGCGGCTCCTGAGTCTGAGCAGTGGTAGTGCTGATCTAGGGGGGAAAACCGGATTGTATTTCAACACAGAACAATATAAATATATGAAAAGTAAATTTACATTAGGAGAAAACCCATACGTGATCGACGATGTTTTAACTATTTGTAAGTCCGGAAGAGGGCGGCCATGATTTTTTACATCATTTTTCACTCAAAGACAATTTATAAAAAGTAATTTGCCGTAACTATGATACACTTCCTTTGTTCATTATCATTATCAGAACAAAAAATAGTCAGCACACAGAATTATTTAAAACTCATTAACAATAACAACGAAACAGTTTGTGATACAGAAACCAGTCTAAAACACGTGGTACCGGGCAAGAGTGTTTACTATAAGCCGGCTGCAGAGACTGCTGCTCCGATACGCGCTGTACCGGTGAACTGCCCCTCACTCCACCTTGCAACGCGCTGTCAACTTGTAACAAGCAGACGGAGCTGCGAACCTAGCAACCCCAATACACACTGTAAAGGTGAACTGCCCCTCACTCCACCGCACGCGGCGCTCACTATATTTGAACGGCTAGCCGCACTGAAATAATTGCAACCAGATCATAGCCCAGTTCTGCTTCCCACTCCTCGCCCATGGACTTACTATCAGTTCAGCCGTTTAGTGGATAATGGCAACATGAGGAGCAATATTAAAATAATTATATATGAGAAATAAAGTGTTACAAATTATATAAACACAAAAAATAAATTTTTCAATTTTTAAAAAATTATAGGGGGTGCTGCAGCTCTTATGGACAGGCCGCCACTGGGTTATTGCCTATGCAGGATTAAACTGTTGACTGGGTACTTTTTATAAATGGTCAAGATTATACATAATTATCACAATTAGCTTTAGTCCTTCAATCTTCATGTACAAAGCTTTTAATTTTGTAGCTCAAATCATATTCAGAAAAGGCCATAAATACATGTAACCATAAAATGTGAATACAATGTGCTGAACCAATTATTTTCAGATACTAAACTGACTTGACCCAACTGCTACTAACCTGAGAGTTGACAGGGTTTCATCATAGTTTATGTCAGCTGGGCTAATTGCTGCTATCATAGCTGTTTTAGAGTTTCCACCAAGGTTCTCCCTCAGAAGCCAAGTCAAAACTGAATCTCGGTAAGGAATGAAATCAGCCTTCTTTTTCTTTTTAGTTGCCTACATTTTGGGAGGAAAACATTTAATATGATAAATAATACTGTACTGCACACAATAGAAATAAATATTACTAATTTACATATTTATACAAATTTATATGATTTCCAAAATGTCAAACGTGATAGACTGGAAGAAAAATGCACAACAATTACTCTCACTACAACCACTATTAATCTCAAACATTATTATAAAGGAAATAGAAGAATTTACTGATTTAAAATGAAAAGGAACATTTCATCTCTTCTTTCCATTTGTATTCAAGTATGAATATATTGCACAGTTAGTTATCCATACTACAAGACCAAAATTAAAATTTCCAGCCATTCTGTGCATTGTGATGATTATTTATAACCAAACTGTTCTCTTGGTTTTGGAAGAAGCTGGGTTAAAATTAATTACTTATGGAAATAAAAAATACAAGTTAATTTATCATACTTTTCAACAACTTAAGCTGTCTGGCAATATTCAGCACACACTTCTTTTAATTTATACACCTGTTACCAGATTATTGCATATTTTTAAACCTAAATTATTTTTCACCATGTCTTTCTTCCACAGAACCAAATGTGTGTGTGTAATTAAATACACTAAGTATACACTATCACAAAATGCACTTACCGCCTAATCCAAAAAGAAAGTATGAAAAAAAAAGTATTTTAATATATTGCTTTAATACAGAGATACTATGCAGACATTTACATCAATACCCAGTAAAGGTTATTTATTTATTACTCTAATATCAGTGACATAGTTCTTATTTCTAAATGTGACGTATGCAAGTTTAAAATATTGTGAACCCAGGAAGGAGGATTCTGCAGATTTTATGTGGCTCTGAATGTTAAATATGGACAACTATGAATAGAATATTCAGGAAGTAGAGACAGCAGAAAGCAGAATAGGTCTACAAATAGCAAATAGATGTAATATGTTTATAAAGTTTATATTAGTTTATCATGTTGTAATGTTCAAAACAGTACTAAACATAAATTACATGCAAACAAATAAAGTCTGCATTTGTAACTAAACATTCATTGTGAGTATTTGGTGCATAATATGCATCACATTAATGAAAAATTAAAAACTGTAATTTATTCAATCAAAATATAAGAAGTACACTTACTGGTGCATTGTTTTAACTGTATCACCGGTGTTATCAGTTAAATGACCATATTTTATGTTACACATAAAGGAAAGAATTTACACTAAAAATACATTGTGTAACAATTTTGGGGCATTAGTAACTTGTAAAGTTATGACAGCTAACAGAGGATATAAGTTAATTTTTATGTAACAATTTTTGGGTGTCAGTAAAGTGGATGTTTTGAGCTGTTTTTAATGTGGCACTTTAAGGAGAACAAGTCATAAATAAACACAGACTGTTTTCAGTTCCAACACAAAGTAAGCTTATACACTCACCACTTCTGCAAGTGCAGAGATGACCTTCCCAAGTGTGGTCAGACTCTTATTGATGTTAGCACCCTCCTTGAGACGTGTGCCCTTGGCTCCAGTTGAGTCTGCTCGCTCAGATCCTGCCAGATCAACCAGGGAGATCTTACTCACTTTCTCTGTAGAGAGCTCTGTGGTCTTATCATTGCGTTGCTGTGTGAAGAATATGGTGAACACTGCATGTGACCGACTTGAAGTCTCATTCATGTTTGTTGCAGCGACAGTCCTGAAAGAAACATCACAACACCATCAAAGTTATAAGGTGTCCCACTTCACTAGAATTTACAATTTAAACTTCTTTCAAGCTCTTCCCAAAGTAAATTCCACATGTTTTTAATTATTTTTCTTTGGAAGTATCAATGAAAACAGATAAATTAACTTCAAATTAAAGCTTTCATAAGGAATTGCAAGTTAAATAAATAAAGAGGAACCTAAAACACTAAAATAGCTCTTTATTCTGTATCTGCCACTATTTATTGTGTTATTGGGAATTAACTTAACTGCTTGGGGTACATTCTTTGTCTGGCCAGAAATTTGGTTATGTAACTTGTATTTTAATAACCAGTGAGGTCCAAGAAGTCAGGCAGTCACCTATATTCTAAAGCACATGATTTCCCCCGAAGGTTTGGCTGAGAATGCACTGAAATAAACATACTCATATTTTCAGAACAAGGTACTAGTGAAAGGTGTTGGTTCCAAAAAAGTATCAATAAAGATGTTTCAATTTATATGTAAATTTACAGTTCAAATGAAGTGTCAATTATATTTGAACATAGTAAAATAATAAAACTAGTAAATATAAAACATGGGTTCTCTATTTCATTAACGCGAATTTGCTCCAGTGAGATGGATGAATCAGTAAAAGCTGTTTATGAAATGCAAACTTTTGCATATGCGAGTTTGCTCTTATGCAATTTCATTCCTGCCGCTTTAAACTTTCAAAGGGCTGATTTAATCTCTGCGGAGGTACCGGGGTTACTTTTAATACGCGATTTTCTATAGATCGGTGTCTTACATGAATGCAACTATCGAATAACAGCAGAGATGACTGTACACATCAATCACATGAAAGAATCGCGGGGACCAACGAATTGCCGATTGTAAGTGTATAAAATATATATTTTAAATTCCCTTTATTTTATTTACGTTATTACAGAACTTTAAATGTAATGCCATTATATTACTCGTCAATGTTTGGGTGCCGGGAACGCATGTCATTGACTTCCCATTGATTTACATTATAAAAAGAGTTTCAATTTACGCCGGTTCATCCAGGAACGCATCCCCGGCGTAAATCGAGGGTTACCTGTACTTTGAATCAGATACTTTAGCATGACATGAACTCAAAAGACAGACAGGAGCCAACAAAAATATGTAATGAGCAGCCTTACCGTGCTTTGTTACCCTCATCTATAAGGTCATGGATATCTTGATACGAAGTGACAGCAAGTTTTGAAAGGTCCTCCACATATGGACCTAGCAGGGGGTGTTCTCTTACACGTAAGTTTCCCTTGTTCTTGGGATTGAGCAGGTCTCGCACACGTTCACAGTAAATCTCCATGTAGCTCACCTGAAATTATTTACATAATTAAGCCTCAGTAATTCTAGTCAATTCTTAATGTACCTTCACTTGTAAGGCCAGGAATTTTCTTTAGCGGATCTCAAACACAGTCTCAAGAAAAGTGCAGTGACAGTTTTCCTTTGTTGCATAAATTCATGTACATTCTGTTTAACTGCTTTGTGTGATTATCTAAGTATGTTTTATAATGGGAACAGTCTAGTTTATCTGATCTCTGATGTAGTTACATAACATATTTTAATTTTATAAATCATAATTTTATTGAATTCCACAAGCAAAATGCTACATGAGAAACATAAGTGGAAACAGAAATTTCCACTTACTTCAACAGAATATTTTAATTCTTCCGACGATGTATTTCGAATTCGTCGGAAGAGATCCTTGCAGATCTGTGGAATGATTCCTTCTTGACCCTCCTCCTCTTGCCTTCCCATCATAGTGTACGATTTCCCAGCACCAGTTTGTCCATACGCAAATATACAAACGTTATAACCTACAAGGAAGGAAGAAAGAATCAGGAACTACAGACACATCCAAAAAAATCTCAATATAAAGCTACTTCTCGGATATCTAAGAAAGTGTTCAGTGTACGGTCACTGCTTTTACCTTCAAACGCGTGCTGCAACATTTCTTCTCCTATGTCCTTGTAAACCATAATTTGTGATGAGAAATTTGGATCTGATACCTAAAACAAAACAACAACACATTCAAAGTTCAAGACAACACATTTATGGTCAGTGACAATAAAAAACCTTTATAGGATACATTACAGCTTTTTGCCTTTGTGACTTTCTTTTGGGTTACAACCTATAGGCTGAAGTTACAGATCTTTTGACACACACTTTCTGTAAAAACTTACATTATGTGACCAATATGAATAGTCGTAGTTGAAGTTTTTAGTTGCATCTTTGGATCCAGGTGGAACTTTCGGATTGATGATATCTGGAAAGGAGTAAATTACACAATGAGTAATGATCTAGTTATTTTACGTATTTCTAAGTATCATACAAGTATCATGCATAAGTATGCTACAACCCAGAAGACAGCCATCTCCATACTTGCAGCCACGATAACAAAAAATCCTACTATTTAAACTTTAATATTAAAAACAATGGTCAACGCCTATCTCAAAACAGAGGCACTAAAGAAAAACAAGAATCTTCATGAGTTCTTCACAACAATGCACTTTGGTCTTCCTGAAAAATTATCTACCATAGAACATATTGGTCGACTGTGACGTCCTCTCTCTCTCTCTCTCTCTCTCTCTCTCTCTCTCTCTCTCTCTCTCTCTCTCTCTCTCTCTCTCTCTCTCTCTCTCTCTCTCTCTCTCTCTCTCTCTCTCTCTCTCTCTCTCTCTCTCTCTCTCTCTCTCTCTCTCTCTCTCTCTCTCTCTCTCTCTCTCTCTCTCTCTCTCTCTCTCTCTCTCTCTCTCTCTCTCTCTCTCTCTCTCTCTCTCTCTCTCTCTCTCTCTCTCTCTCTCTCTCTTTCTTTCTTTCTTTTTTTTTTTTTTTGGTTCTGTCTGACGACAGGTCCATATGAACAGGATCATTCCATCCTTTTCTCGGACTGGGACCTGTTCATATACGTTCTTGGCAGATGATCCAGAAGTGGTTTGCCATTGCCTTCTTCTGTGTGTGAATGGAGTAATTGTTGGGATGCCACGGAGGAAAACTCCGTGTTGCCTAGACCACGTCCTTGCCCAACACAAGTTATAAATTCGCGCACCGCCGGGAATCGAACCCGAGACCCCAGTATTACAAAGCCAGCGTTCTAACCGCTAGACCACCGTGGCAGATGTGACGTCCTATGTCATGTTAATTGAAGAGAACTACAGCTGAAGCAGTCATGAACTGATGCCTGTACGAATTTGGCGTAGTCGCCATAATCTGGCCTTTTGCTTTCTTAACGGCAGGAAAATTCCCCAGCTACGGATTCCCCCAACCAGTCACTTATACGCAGAAATTCGTCTTCGTGTAAAGTACGTGTTATTGTTCCCCGATTTCAACCAAAATTGAAATGTGCCTACAAGTTTTAGCAAAACTCTCCAATATCAGATTTAATGAAAATCCGATCAGTGGTTCACGAGTTGATCATGGGGACACATGGCCAGAGGCAGACATGGCGAAGCTAACAGGAGCATTTTCGAACGCGCCTAAAACGTCACTAGCCCAAAGCAGAATCAGAACAGCGAGTGCCAGTGTCAGCTAGACCTAGAAGACGGTGAGTGCTCGTTTAAAAGGTCAGAGCCTTAAATTCTACAAATGGATCATGCGCTCAACACCCCTGCAAGTAACTCATAAACCTGATAGGAGATTATTAATCATGCAGTAGAAATGCCACAAGTGAAATGGAGCTGCAGTTACTACAGACCATCAGAAAGATAATTCACTTTCCTCTGATGCCTCGTAACTAGGCAACCGCCACCCACTATCTTAAGCTACACTCTCAACGTCATCACTGGATTAAAAAATTATAGTTATACTTTCAAATTTGAAATTCTGATAGCGCAACTCGTAAATTCTAAAGCCATCCACTAGCCCGACTCTGAGCCAATTTCATCGACCAGCCACCCTCATAACCTACTTCCCCAAGATCGTTAATGTTATCCTCCCATCTCATTCTTGGTCTTTCACTTGGCCTTCTCTCCAACAAGAATAATGTGAATTCTTCAATTTATAGAGGTTATTAACAAATAATCAACAAAAAGGTGGACGAATACGCCAGTTTTTATTTATTTTACAAGTTATAAAAATCTAACAACATCGACTTGGTACCAATTTCATTTCTGTTCATATTACTCTGCATAATTTCTAGCAGTACAGAAATTGGATAAGATTTTTAGAAAGCTGAGAAAGTACGAAAAGTCGAGCAATCAGATCGTCTTCACAAACATTAAACTCTCGTATCGATTTGCATCGAGTACTGCGCCACGGTCGACAGATTTGCTAAAGCCTGACTGTCCACCCGACCAGGCCCCGTGCAGTTCTCAACCACGGGGAGAAAGTTCAGTAGAACAGATTACTGCCAGTAAAAGGGAAATCTGATTGACGACTGTGGCCTGAGGTCGAGTTTGTTTTTCACGTATTACCGCCTCACACCAAGAATATTCGAGTTCGATATCCCGGTCAGTCCTCACTGAAAATCAAGGTCAGAAAGGATCCTTGTTTCAGGATTCAGAAGCTTCTGCCATCAACAATTCCACCACACTATTTTACAGCAGTCTTTCCTTCGACATTCCTTCCTATATTTCTTTCGAACACCAGTAAATTTAACCCTGAAGATGGGGGTAGTATGTCCCTCCGAAATGTTGGTTATCTACCTGTAAGTCCGCACGACGTTACTGCCCAGAGACCATACCCAAGCCTAATTCGTCTTTTGCAATGGCATCAAAAATAAGCAAAACTATTTTACAAAGTCGATTAGTCAAATTTATTTCCTATGTCAATCAATACTAACGTCTGAAGAGGCTAAGCGAAGTTGAATGTGGTATAATGATATTAATATGAGTGGCGAGTGGGAAGAAATGTAGAAGTGGCCGTCGTACTGTGTGCGACCTCCAGTGGGCGACAGCGAACACCAGCTACTTTTATCAATAATACGCATGTCGAGAGTAACCAGATAAGAGGCCATTAAGTCCTGCTCCAATCTTCGCACGAACTTTTTTTTTCATGAATGTATTTTCTTTACAGATCCGAAAACTCAACGCGGCCACGCAAAAGTTTTGTTCCCAAACATGCCTCAATCTACCCTAAACACAACAAAACCATTTTACACTCTTCGTGAAAACCTTTTTTCATGAACGTGTTTTCTTTACAGATCCCAAAACTCAACGTGGCCACGCAAAAGTTTTATTCCCAAACATGTCTCAATCTACCCTAAACACAATAAAACCATTTTACACTCTTCGTGAAAACAAAACATAATTAACCTGAACCTACAGGCGCATTGGTATGAGCCGGGATAGCTCAGTCAGTATAGTGACTAGCTACGGGCTGGACGACCGGGGTTCGATCCCCGACGGGGGCAGAGGATTTTTCCTCTAGCCTCTGCGTCCAGACCGGCTCTGGGGTAAACCCAGCCTCCTCTCCAAAGGGTACCGGGGTCCTTTCCCGGGGGTATGGCGGAGTCGAAGTATATTTAAACAGATTCGTGACCCTGACACTAGACGGAGCTGAGTGGTCAGTTTTAAGCCCCGTCCGCCTTACCTCGGATCAGAGAGCCTATCAGCCAGGATGCTGGGTGGACCCCACAGCTGGTCTCTCGTCAGGAAAAGAACTCCGGTCATCCAGCCCTTAACATAGTCATTCAGCTACCCCGACTCTTACATCAGGAATGTGGTACGGGAGAAACATCTTGATATACCTAACTTCCCAATGTAGAGTAAAATTTTAACGTCAGAGTTCGTTACTGTTCTTCCAAAACACACCGAATACATGAGAACATGTACAACACAACTTCATACGTATTTTAATAATCTGGAATCAGATGTTAGCAAATATGTCACTGTTACATGCATCGAGTTTGGCTGATCTGTTTACTATCACGGTTAATTTCTGTGTATAATACCGCTGAATGGAGTTCAGGTCATGACCTAGATAAGGTACCCAGACACAAATAATTAGTCTGCTCACAGTGACGAGCCATTGTCAAGGTGCTAGCTTCACAGCATCGTCTTATAACGAAGCAGATAAATGGGAACGAGCCGAGAATTATATCGACACAAGTTAATAACGTACAATACATCTAGAAAGATGGAACAAGGGGCAATACAAAGGATATACGAATGATACGTGAAAGAATTGAATCTTCTTTTAAAAGAAACTGCGATAAAACTAAGGCAGTTGTTGAATGAGATGATTCGAAATCAATGCAAACATTTTTATTTGGAACTTCTTCCCTGCACAAAACTATTTCAATAACACCAACCCTTTGAATCTTTTAATGGCATCTAAACACTTAGTCCCATTGACTAAATCAACTAACACATATTTAAAGCAAAAGGCAAAATTAAAACTCTACGCCCTGACATCGGATGTCATAAAATGAAATACTCATCGAGTACCGTGAGGCACTAAACCTCAGTCAAGGTCGCTGACCCAGGAACACTCGCTGTGGCGCCAGAGTCGGGTCGGGTTGGGTCGCTGACCTAACTTACAAAACCGAAGGGTCGGCGCCTGACACTGCTGCAGACAGCTTATTCAGGATCAGACATCATAGCAAAGACTGATGCACTCTGCAAGAAGCTGTCTTTGTGCGTACTACTGCTAATAAGGAAGATGACCTGTTTTTTTACTGTTAAGTTTTCCTGCGGCACTAACCCTTTGAAGCCGAAGAGAGAGAGAGAGAAAGAGGAAATTGGTGGGGGAGAAGTGAGAGACACTTCGATATCTGGGGGAGGAGAAAGAACATCTTATAGCTAGAAGGTCCCCAGGCAATGCCCGCTCGTCCTTCTGTTAAGGATAAAGTAAGAGTGAAGGCGTTAGTGTGATGATTGGCATAAAAGACGGAATTTTGAAATTTTGTATTAGAGAAAGCTGAGACTATTAATTTGGAAGTTTAATACATAATTTAGAAGTTCCTACTGAGGGGAGGGGGGTAAATTTTGACGGCGTTAAGGGGTGGTAAATTTTGATTAATTTAAATCGGGAGGGCTGCATGAGAAGCTTGCAGTGGCAACTTGGAACTTGGGAGAAGCCGAAGGTCGTCTAAATAATATTTAAAGATTCAGCCCGTACCGCAAAGAAGGCACAACCCATAGCCATTAAAAATATCAATTTGTTAATGCTGTTTATACTGAGAATCACGTAAGAACCACAAATACAGTAGAGTTACTGAACTCAGACGAAGAAACTGTTCTAGTCCCATTTCGTCCACGACAAATCTCACGTGAACTCACCCGCGATTGAATCAGGGTCTCCACGGTGACAATCCAGTGGCTGGCA